GTACGTACGTACGTAGTACGTACGAGTACGTAGTACGTACGTAGTAGTAGTAGTAGGTAGTAGAGAGTAGAGAGAGAGTAGAGAGAGTAGAGAGAGAGAGAGAGAGAGAGAGAGAGAGAGAGAGAGAGAGAGAGAGGGCTGATGGCAGGAGCTAAGCGAGGTTTTCTGTTGATCAAGAGAGAGAGATGATGGAAGGATAATATACCTTGTGTTATTTGCCCTAAACTCTCCATTTTTAAGACAATCCTACATCCTCTCCAAAGATGGGAATCTTTTTTGTTGTCACTCGGACATACTACACAGTAGTGTTACAATATAAACTCATTTTAAGTTAACAAATTACAATAGTCAGAATGAGGGGTGCGAATTATGTCAGGTCGACCAGATTGGATTCAAGTTTAGACCCAGATTTTGGACCCAAGGGGTTGGGATTGGGTCTACTCGACCTTTGACCCAACTCGGTTGGATTCATGTTCGAGTCCTAGTCCAGATCTGGCATAGATAATAACGGGTCAGGTCATCTCGACCTGACCTAACTCAATGTACGTTAATACAAATACGTGCTAATATTATTAAGGATGTAATATAAGATACTATATTTTTCATATATTTCGTTCTCTATAGACCTAGATCTGTGGGTTGAGTCGGGGATGCATTGGGTCCGAGTCCAATTCAACTATTAAATTACAACTAGACTAGGGGAAGAAAAGAAATGAGAGACATCTATTATATTACTAAATATACAAACCATTCATAGGTTGCACCAGTCACCCCAACAAACCTGAAGGCAACAATTGATGCAAATAAAGCAGGGCAGTGCAAAATTGTGCCATGATGATGATGCAATTATCAGAGATGCGAGCAATTGGGCTCTGCATCTTCTCCGCAACAGGTGCAGCATCGCACTAATGTTGAGTGCATGTTGAAAATCGACTTCAAAACATTCACTTCGTTGGATTTGATGGGAATGCTGTTTTCAGTTTCCTCGATGCTTCGGAAGCCGACAGTGAGGTTGTGCATGAATGTGATCTTGCAGCCTTTTGAGGTCAAATACTTTGAGAAATCGATCTTATTTCCCTGCATACGTATCGTGGGTTTAATACGTCAAATCAGTTGAATTATGGTTGAATGTTTTTTTTGTTAATATTTTGACTATTAAACTTAAAATGAGTACAAAATGTGTGAAAAAAGGGGAGCAGGATTCTCACATACGGGCTCTGGCCAAAAAATAGGCTACCCACAAAGGGGCGCCTTGTACAAAAATCATGGCTAGATAAAAAATACTTTACATGAACTGAGCCATTAATGATATCAATTCCAATTTGTGTTAGGAAACCGAGCCAAAAATAGTCCCTTAGGGGGGACTCAGATTGGCATGATACAAGGTTGTAGCTACCTTTGTTAGGGAATCAGCCTCATTATTTGCTTCTCATATAAAGCTTTTTTCTTGATGGCTATTTTGTTGTACACTTTTTTTACAGTTATTTACTTATCACGGTTGGAGATACTAATAGCTTAGGATTATATTCAAATATATCATTGATTTAAAAGATATTAATAGCTTAGGATAATATTCAAAGATATCATTGATTTAAAACATGACGAAGAGCACGTTAAAGGTTACATAGAACTCAAAAAGTTCACAAATATCATGATTAAACATGATCCCCCAGGCAAGTGTATTATTTCCACATTTTCATAAATTGTTTTCTATATACCTCTCAATAAATTTAATGCTGATTAGAAATATGCTTTGTACATGTTTGCTTTTCAGCGCATATCAAATCTTGTAACATCCCATCTTTTGGGATGATTGGAAGCGATTGCATTTTTTTGTAGAGCTCTACGGTTGAGTTGATGGATATGGTAAGATGGCTTTGGATAAGAATCCCATAAAAGTACTAAAAAATCACCATGTGGAGCACAATGGTAGAAAAGATATAAATGAGACTGTCATTTGAAACTGGAGATGCTCAAGGCTATGGAACAACTAGAAGCGGCAAAATATACAAAACATTAGAAGAAACCTGATTACGATTTTAAGTTGCCATCCGATCTCCTAAGTTTTATTCGGAACATATCTGTCCATTTTAATGATCTACAACTAGAAATCAAGGTAATGGATACATTTAGTTCTATAAAATTTATTATGTTAGTAGTATTTAGCCTATTTGTATATACAAGGAAATAAAAACTACCTAATTTCTCATACGTTATATTTAATGTACCTTGCAGAAATTCTTTTCTAATTGTTGCATTGAAATTTACAAACCATTTGAAGATATATTTCCAGAGCTCCTTATGGAAATGCATAGTTTTGCCCATCAACAAAGATACCATAAGGAGGATCAGTTTAAGACATTTTTTGGGAAAGCAATGACTTAGGTATGTATGGACATGGCAGTTTGGGACGGTAGGTTGCAACTCTTTTAGTCATGGGCCATGAGAAGTCTACCTCACCTCTTTTTGTAGTTGTAGGCTGGTTGGTTTGACATTTTGTTTATGGTTTGACATTTCGTTTATTTTCATGTACTTGAAGGCTACACCCTCTATTTTCTTTTTCTTATTTTTTTTTTAATTTTGTTTACTTTCATGTACTTGAAAGCTTCACCCTCCATTTTCTTTTCTTTTCTTTTTTTTAGATTTTGTTTTTCTACTTCATGACTACTAGGCTTATAGGTTGCATTATCTCTAAGTACAGTGCTCTTTCATATAGATTGGTTTAATTCTATTTGGTTTATGTACCACTTTCTTTTGATAGTTCTCTTGTGATTATGTTATAAATGGTTTATGTAGCCAGTTGGGTCCATAGTTGTATAAGCCCAAGTGAATGCCTAAGCTGATCGCCCTTCCTTTGAGATCCATGTGTGTGTTCAGGATGTTTTCATTGGGGGTGGTGAACATGTGGGTTTCCTTGCTCTGAGCATGGATGTACATAAAAACTATGGCATGCACATGCATCTACACGAACATATGCCCGGATTATATGCCATGAGCTCATGAACAAACACAAACACAATGGCATGCACATGCATCAACATGAGCACATGCATCAACATGAACACATGCATTCGAGTTATGAGCTTATGCATGTGGAAGTTGTTTTATACGAGCGCATGACCATACCCAAATACAACGGCATGCACATATATCTAGATGAACACATGCATGTGTCTTTTATTATGAGAACATGAGCCTACAATGTCCATGTGTCTTCATGAATGCATTACAAGCACTTGGTTGTTGACGGGCATACGCTTCAATGTAGAATGTAATATGTATGTGTGCTAGTATGTGTTCGTATATTTACATGCATACAAAACATCACGCATAAATTTGCACAGCTAAGAACATGAATCTATCTCACTAGTAAGTTCACACATACTTTCATGCATCACTGAAGCCTTAGGTGGATGCATTCATGACGATTCAGATTCAATTTTGTCAGACAAGCAATGGGAAGGTTAAATCCAATATTATACCCCTTTTTCTTCTCTCAAAATTTTATTTTTTAAGGAAATAAATATGAGGTTCACGTCAGCATCTCTCACCAAACTCCTTTCCTCTCTCATACTTTATCCAAAAAATCTCTCTCTCTCATACTTTATCCAACTCACTCGCTCTCTCCTCCCTCTCACGTAACTCCTACTTTATCTCATTTTTTTCTTTTATCTCATACTCTTTGTCATCATGCTTTATCAATAGAAGATAAAAGGGGGGCCGCCTCATTCTCTCTCTCTACCTAAACATTATATAAAGGGAGGCCACACCCCATTCTAAAAGCACTCTCTTCTATTTCTAGTATTGGGCTTTGAAAAGAAATTAAAAATGAAAAAATTTTTAGGTGATTTTTTTTAGGATTGATCCTGAAGAGTTTTGGATAAGCATAATGGTTCCATTGAGGAAGCTTCAATTGAAGAGGTTGGTCGAAATTAGCTTTCCCAGTTAAGATTGAACGAAGACCGTCAATCACGCGTCATAGGATGGTGGTGACTCCGTGTGGGGTATAATAAGCCCAGTTGAGGTAATCTCCGGCATTCTCTTTTGATTCTTGAATATTTAATTCTATAGTCTTTATATTCTCAAGCACAAGATTTGTGATTATTTTCTTGGTTAAAGAAAATTGGTTCAATGGCATCAAAGTTATTGAGATCCTGGATTGGTAAATTTTTATTTTATTTGACGCAAGAGTTATTGTAATAAGACTACTTGCAAGTGATCTTTGTTAAAGAAAAGAAAAGAAAAGGAAAGGGGTGAAAAATAAATAAAAAAATCTTCGATAAAGATCATATTGGTCGAACTTCTAATGGTATCAGAGCGATGTTCATATTTGATACCATTAAATGTATTTTCTCTTTATTGAGTCAAGAGCAAGCTTGGGAATGAGATATGAGAAAGCTAGTACTCTTTGTGATCACGTAATACACCCCGGTTAAGAATTATTGAAATATTCAAAACACCGAAAAAGGCACAATGCAGAAAGGGTATTCTGTGCTATTTTGGAGTAGTTATATAAAAGATATTATGTATTTTTCTATTACATACTTTAA